TCTGTTCACATAGTGAATCTAAATTTAGTTTCTATATTTGTCCTTCTAATTCCACACGTAAATTTAAATCCGGAACTTGCAGCAACATATTGCTTTGTTTTTTTATAGTTTATGAGAATTTAACTAATATCACAATACAATTGAACTGTTATGAATTTAATTTCAACTTGATTTTGTAGATATTATAATTCGCACGTAATTTTAGTTATCGGATTTTTGTGTAAAATTGATTAATAATATTGTAAGTGTAAATAACACTTAAATTAATAGATATGTGTGCTGTGAGAGTAGGTCGCAACCCATGTTCGATAGTTGTGAATTTTAAAAAAATGAATGACTGACTTTCTGTATGACTTAAGACGGCAGCTTGCAAGGAATCATATAAATAAACCAGTGAATTCTTATATAATTTTACAGTTTATGTAATTGTTTGTCTCTTGTTAAGGGCAGCATGGAATTTATAATTTAGAGCTCATGCACGCTAGCCAGATACGATAACCAATACTATAATCGAAAAAATAGTAGGTACCGCTTGCTATCCATAACGGTATAGTGATATGATAGCTAATATTAATTGAGTTTTAATAATAATTCCTTCAAAAAAGATATTTCCAATTTTTGTGTAATAAAATATTTCAGTTAAAATGTTTCTTACGATAAATCGGTCAGCAAACAAACAGAATGTTTTGCTTAAAGTAAAATAAAGCTAATATGAAAAAGATAAAATAGACTTCATTTATCGTATTGAATATATTGTTTTCATAGAATCCAGAACGATATAGTGTGTTTCGTCCATGTTCTATATCGTTCCATTTATCTTATAGTGCATTCACACTGTCTCATTAAGGCGCTTGCTATTTATATCAATGAGGAAATGATCAAATTATAATAAGCTCATTTATACAGCTGATAGAACTTCTATAAACTTTTATAAATTTCACTGAAGAATATATCACATAAAAAAATTATATATATAATTAATATATTAAATTATTTATATATCAATTACATATTTAATTAATAAAAACACAGATATTATTAAATACTTTCTTTCTCAGTGACTACAGCTCAGTTGTTATTTGTTCACATATGTCATATAAAATATATGACAAATCTTTCAGTTTTTGGCAATTTTCCTTGTAGGAAATTTATTTTTAAGGGTTGCATTAAACAATTTCCCCCTTATATAAATTGATTTATTGATAATGAGCTCATTTATATGGAAAATTTTTGTATGGTAAATCATCTTCATTAGTCTTTATAATGAACAAAAGCGTTTAAATGAGACGGTATTTTCCTAGTGTTTACTGCGTCTTATATCGGATATTAAAGATGCTGTAAGATAGTGTGCGGCAATGTCGTTTGAGTTTTAATGCTATAGAATGTAGGATGTTATTTAAATTGTCTGTAAAGACAGACAATTGTTTTTGATCTTGCAAATATTGATAAACAATGGTTTAAATTGTTTTAACTTTTCACGTAACTATGGCTTTATTTTATTCTTTGAAAGGAGTTAATAATTTTTTTTCAGCCGATATTCAAAAAAATAAAGTTACCCTGTAGTAAAAGTAGATAAAATATTGAGAGCAAATACATATATTTATTTAACATTTTTTTATTTATTATAATAATTGTGTAATGCCTTAATATAAAATTATAAAATTTTTATTATAAATTGAATATCTCCAGTATGTGTATATGTACTACTGCACTAATTTTTTAAATAAGTACAATATGATAATAAAAAATAATGTAATATATTATTTTATTTTGGTATTTAAGTCTAATCTGATCTTATGTCGTAAAATCTAATACTATATTACCAGTAGAAGATAGTTAAAATAGTAACTCGTCGAAAAAAAATATTAAATGTGAAAAAAATAAAACGTCTGTTCCACGAGCTACTCATAGTAAAATTCAAGTTAAACACAAGTGAAGTGCAAACTGAGAGCGTATAGTACCAAATTACGTTCTTACACTGATTTTCATGGAATAGCTAGTGCCACACAAATAAACAATATAAAATTTTAAATTCCATAAATTCCACAGCTGATTCACGCATCAACACAAATTTTACTTGAAGCAAATGTAGGAGTAAAGTCTGTGTAGCATTTTCAAATTTCGACGGAGATGTTACACTTTTCAGATACTCTCATTTACTCGAAAATTTACTGGTAGAACGTACTTGTGATAAACAGTGCTACTTAAAGTAACTACGACATCTAATATAAAAAAGTAAAAAAAAAATATAACGTAAAAAAATAAAATGGGTATAAAAAGTATAAAAATAAAAAAAAAATTAACAAAGTAAAAAAAAAAGGATAAAAAAAATATAAAAAGTAAAAAAAACATATAAAAAATGAAATAAAAACAAAAAAAAATATGCAAAAAATATATAAATAAAATTATATAAATAAAGGAATATATATAAAAATATAAATTAAAACTAATAAACATATAATAAAAAATATAAATAAAAATATAAATAAAAAAATATAATAAAAAACAACATATAAAAAAAATATAAATAAAAAAAATATAAATAAAAAAAATATAAATAAAAAAAATATAAATAAAAAAAATATAAATAAAAAAAATATAAATAAGAAACAAAAATATAAATAAAAAATATCTAAATAAAATAAAATTCAATAAAAAAAAAATGAATAAATAAAAGAAATATATAAATAAAAAAATATTGATACAAAAAAAATAAATGAAAAAAATATAAATAGAAATATAAAAAATAATATAATATAAAAAAAATATAATATAAAAAAAATATAATATAAAAAAAATATAATATAAAAAAAATATAATATAAAAAAAATATAATATAAAAAAAAATATTTTTGTTAAATATAATACATTTTCACATATATTTATATTATCTTATCTTCCATAAAGTTCTTGGTATGCAAGCTTATGCTAAATATATATACATTTTGTTGTCTTCTGGCGTTCTTGCTATATATTCTCTTTCGATGAGGTTTTCGATCCTTTTCTTAATAAACATAGGCGATGGCAGGAAACGTTTTTTAAGCTGTGACGTGACGTCGACAATGAGTTCATTATGCGCCATCCGTTTTCTCGCTTTCATTATTCGTACTATAGCTGAATCAATTTCATGTTTACGATCTTCGTCAACTTTATCACGTATTTGTCTACGATCGGCCTCCTTCTCATCTTTTGCTGCAACATTTAGAATTTTTATTTTGGTGTTTTTATGTGTAAAAGCGTCATTAACATAAAACTCATCGGTTGGATCAATATTTTCCGTTTGAGTTTTCGATCGCCGTGCAAGTATGCGCTGCTTCTGCATGCATAAAGATTCCAATGACCGCAATAAGTTTTTTTCAGGTATATCTGTTTCTTGCTGAATATCTAAATATGTCAGAACCTGACGATTGTTGAAGAGCATCAAAATAGACATTTGATGTGTAGATACTTGCAATAAGTGCTTTCTGCGTTTTTGTGGTGTTGTAGAGTTTACGGCGCATATGGAATCGTCTTTTTCATGATCAATCTTTTGTCCATAAAATTCGGCATTAATAAAAGCATTACCCAATTGAGGTTGCAGTACTAACTTTCGGTTCGAACGCTGATTCAAAAAATATATTTTAAAATATTCAAACGCTTCGCTAGCTGCCAATGGTAAATTACAGTTTAAATTCGCTGCGTTTATAGGCCAGAATCCCATTGTCAGTACTCGGATTTCCAATTCAACTTTTGGCAGTGATAAATTGCTTTTATTTACATGATCTTTAAATTCTTTGATTATAGTATTTGAAGCAGACATATCTTTGAGCATTTTATCCAACTTTAAAGTATATTCATATCCATATTCAATTTTTAATTTGGAAATCATATTCTTCTCGAATTCATAGGAAACATATTTATTTTGAATTAGCCGTTTGGCTAAATGTATCTGATAGTACCTTTCGAAAGCATCCTTTTCTTGTAATAACTTAAATAAGAACATTGTTTCGTCCAACACTTTCTCAAATTCTTGTTCAGTGATTAATTTAGCTCCTGTTGCGAGTTTATTATTAATGAAAAGCGATAAACATTCTGGTGATTTCTTATTTAAAATAATAAAATGTTCAATAGCAGTAGAAATACGTAGCTTAATTTCCACATCGTCATTGAACGAATAATGTACTAATTCATAGAATTGCTTTTTTAAATTTAATATTTTTTGAATAAACGTTATCGGACTAATTATATTCATTTCTTCTTCTATCACTAGTTTCCGTCCTTCATCAAGTAAGTATGCAGACATTGTGTCAGCGATAACATTTAGACCTTCTTCATTATACTGAGAAAACACTTCATACAATGTGCGAAGATCATCCATTTTTGAATTTTCGATCATATAGGCAAGCCCAAAAGTTTCCATTTCGGCAATGCTTTGCATATGCTTTTTAATTAGTTCATCTTTGATTATTTTCACAATATGTGGTTTAGTACTTTCCTTCAAATATAGAACAGTACGATTTGATTCTGCTTGTATGTAGGCATTAACTTCTTTTAAATAAATGCATGCATTATTTCCTGCAAGCAATTCTTGCGATTTCAATTTGTAAAATGACTCTGATTTTACTAAAAACGGCTTTTCAATGATTTCCTCATATAATGAATGAGAGTTGAAATCCAATGATAAAAGCATTTGGCATACGTTTTTCATTAATAAATGATTAATTACTTCACCGCATCGTTCGATTTGTATCATTTCCATAATGCAATCACTTAAAACATTTTTTAATTTTGTATATTTTATAATTTCATCTCTAAACAAAATTAATCCCAAGTTGAAAACATTTTCTAAATTTTCTTTTTCAACATAAACATGATCCATGTACATTAATATATCACGTATCATTAACATTGAAGTCTTATGATCGTTCCACTCTTGATTCAGTTTAAATAAAAAATTGTTGTTTATATTTTTTATTAGACATTGCCGTACGCTTTGCTTCAGGTGCTCAGATATTACTTCACGTACTCCAGAATACAGACGATTTCCTTGGTTATAAAGAATCATATAATGTGCGTTCCGATATAATCGTTCAAATGAAAACTTTGATTTGCTCTTTTTCTGAATCATCTGCATGGCATTTTTTAGACTAGCCCATAGAGTTTCTACACTTTGTTCAACCCCAGAGGAGTAAAAGCTGCTGCCGTGTAAATACATTGTTTTAGTATGGCACAGTGTCTTTCTTACAATAATAAAGAAATTTAATTAAATATAATCTTTTAAAATTGTCTTTACTTATTTACTGTAAACTTGATTTAATTGTTGATAAATTTGATACAGACACAACAAATTTTTATCGAAATAAAAAGTCATTATATATGCTCTAAATTAGCGTTTTGTTTTATTATACTAAAAACAGATTGTATTAAGCTTTTTTAGTTTTTATAAATAGGCACTTCCTCCGTTTCACTTTTTCTTCCTCCGGCCACTAAAAATTTGGGGTTTCTAAAATTCTATTTGAAAAGTTTTCTTGAATGCCGATAGTCAACATTTGCAAAATTCACAATAAAGCAAATGTTCACAATAATATTGATTGAACAATATTCAAAAAATAAACGAGTCAATAGTACACAAAACTTAAGATCAAGTTCAAACAGCCAAATTTCCTAAATTTCGTAAAAATGATATTAAGTTAATTTCGCAACTGTTCATACTGCCCCAAATTAAGGCAATCATATGTTTTTTGTTTACAAATCGAATATTAAAAATTAAATGCTCCAAAGACCATTTGAATCTGGGAAATTTTAAAAAAAGACATAAAAGTTTCAAATTTCTCTCAAATTATATCGGTATATATCATAACATCTATTTCACACGAAATATACTCTCTACAAAAAAAAAATAAAACATCTGAAAAATTTTGATATTACTCGTTTTTGGCAGCTGCGAAGTGTGACCACATATTCCACATACGTGCACATAATTCAAGTAAATTAAAATTTGTGTAGTTTGAATAATACTTTGTATTAGATAATTAATACAAGTTTGAAAATTAAAATGAATTAAAAGCAGTGTTAAGAATACAGAAAATTTCGAAATTTCCTTTTATAACAAAATTAAAAACAGTTTAGAATATTTATGCGTTAATAAGTATAAATTTGTTAGTTAGTTGCTAAGTTACAAATTTAAAGTACTTTTTAAATATACATTTTTCATGTATTCCTATATATTTTTAAAAAATTTATTTTACACAATTTTTAAATACAGGCAGAAATCAGTCATTTACTTCTCATTTGTGATTTTTGACTCAAATCAGTCATTTGAAACCTGTGTAAACAACATATAAGATGTTTGCCCACTTCGTAATTAGTCGTTTAGTTAGAGAATGTATTGTTTTTATTTTTTGTTTTTGTCACATTTCGGAGCTATCGCATAGACCTATTGTGCACTCATTTTACGTTAATTTTTCGTGTGATATATATGTTAGTACTGAGTTTGATGTAAAAGTTACTTTAATGAGAACCTTTTAATACGTCGGTTGTGAAATTATGGAATCCTAAAAATCACAATTTAATTATAATTAAAATATAATTATAAAAAATTAACAAAAACTTTTTGTTAATCTTATTAATAAAAAAAAATTTAATAAAATTATTTACAAATTTGTGTAAATTCATGTTTGCATTAAATGGCAACACCGTACAGTATACACAAAATATTTCGTGGTAATCTAAATTTTTTTTATTGAAATGACGTTTAGTTCGTGTCATTTTTTATGTTATATTTTGGGTGTATCGTTCACACTGAGCGCAGAGGATTATAAATGAATATTAAAGGCATTATTAAATAATTTTTTATATATATAAATTATGTGTTTATGTAAATATTAAATAAAAAAGTGCAATGATAAATGAACGGTTATAAGGACGCCCGGTATTGAATATAAAAGAGGAGTAAGAAAAACAAATTACACAAACGAAAATAAGACAAAACATAAGCAACAATTCGTCACAGTCATTTTTTGAGAAGTATTCGTCATAGTGGTAAAAGCAGAAGTTTTACATTCTTCGAAAGAGCAAACTAAAGTGTAGCAAATATAGCAATAGACGCAGTAGAAGTAGCAGTACCAATGAACACGCTTTCCGCGGCAGCAGCGAGGCCGTCACCTTCAGATGAAAATGTCGGTGGGGGTGGTGATAATGATGCAAGTTCTAGACGACAAGCAACGCGTGTCTTTAAAAAATCCTCTTCAAATGGCAAAATCACAGTGTACCTGGGCAAACGAGATTTCGTTGATCACATAACACATGTAGATCCCATCGATGGTGTTGTATTTATAGATCCCGAATATGTTAAAGATCGCAAAGTATTTGGACAAGTGCTTGCCGCTTTTCGTTATGGTCGGGAAGATTTAGATGTGTTAGGTCTCACATTTCGAAAAGATTTATACCTAGCGCACGAACAAATTTATCCAGCACCAACACCAGAACGTCCGTTAACGCGCCTACAAGAAAGGCTCATTAAAAAATTGGGCCCCAATGCATATCCTTTTTATTTCGAAGTTCCTCCTTACTGTCCGGCTTCAGTGTCGTTACAGCCAGCGCCAGGTGATACAGGCAAATCATGTGGAGTCGATTATGAGCTCAAGGCATTTGTGGGTAAGTGCATAATTAAAGTACAATAATAATACTTTTTATTTTTTATTTTATTTTTATTTTTTTGTTTTTACTTTTTTTATTACTTGCAAAGTATCAAAGTCAAGTTTACATAACTTTAGAATCCAATATCTATAATATTAGTACTAATATTAAAAGTTAATAAATGCAGGTCATCACCAAAGTCAAACTCATTTGCTAGATTGTTGATAGTACTTGCCCCCGACCCCCAAATTAATTAATAAATTTTGACGTCGGAATTTTTCATCAAAATCGCCTTGCAGTTCAACTTGATCGCTTCATGTGATGCTGTCGTTACATATTGCTTTTCTGCTGCTTGGCTTTGGATGTGTTTCTGATGAGTTGTCAACGTTTGCAGCGAAATTCACAGCATTTTTATGGC